CTTAATTAAACCAAAGTGGTCTGGGTCTGACAGCTCATTGTCTTAATTCTCTATAAAGACTAACATAGAAATGTTGTAATGGCTTCTCCTCTCCCTTGTTACCGGGGCCTGAAAAAAATATGTACGCACACACACACCTAGGAGGCCTGTGGCTGAGTGGACAGCGCTTGGGACTCGTCATCCTAGGGTCCGGGTTCGATCCCCGGTTACGGCGGAAACAAATAGGCAGAATTTCTTTTAATCCTGATGCCCCATGTTCACCTAGCTGTAAATAGGTACCTGGGAGTTAGACAGCTGCTACGGGCTGCTTCCTGGGGGTGTGTGCGTGGGAATCAAAATCAGTTGATTGATTGACAGTTGAGAGGCGGGACCAAAGAGCCAGAGCTCAACCCCCGTAGGCACAACTAGATGAACACACACACCTGCCTTTCACCCGACACCAACCACAACATTAGTGAAAAGTGGTTGGTAGAGTCCGTAGACTTTTTCACCTGTAAGTGAAGGTGACTTAAATGGATCGACAGCAAGAACCTCATACTACCAATTATAAATGGCCTAATTGATGCACAGAGTAAAGGGTCTCGAATCTCCTTTGTATGGATACCTTCACACATAAATATAACCCATCATAATGAGACAGACATTACAGCCGAATTAGCGTGTAACAAGTTTGAAGTTGAATTAGATCTAGGTATCCCCATCTCTGCTGTCAAAACTGTATTGATCCAAACATTCAGATCTGATAGGAAAGAACTTACTGACTCCCAACGACCTGAAAATACTATTATAAAAAGCTATGATTTGTTCAGATCTGAAACCTACATCTATGGACAGCACAAAACGTCCACTAGACTGTGCGACACAGTGGTTGCAAGGATCAGGTTGGGTTACCGTTACCTGTGGCAGGTGGCTGCAGGTGACGGGTCTCCCAATCCTGAGCACTCCAGTTGCAAACTCTGTGAGCAGGAACTACGGCATGATCTCCCGCACTACATCACTGAATGCCCAGTTATTAGACCTTTCAGACCAGTTGGCATGAGGTACCTGGAGCTTTGCAATTACTTTATTCACTCTCGTATTCTTGAAGATATCCTCACAGTATACCCAAAATTTGCCAGTGCCGGCTACTAAACACATGGCTCTGTATGACTAACCATCCTGCGAGATGGGGACTTGTATTACCACTGCTACCTTATTCAATCTTGTGTTGTTGATATCCTCAAAATGCATCCGGAGTCTGCCAGTGCAGACCGCTTATCACATGCCTCTGTATGACTAACCATCCTGTGTGATGGGGATTTTTTAGCATCACCTAGTTAGCTTCTTTTTGACACACTGTACTCCACTTCATATAGTCTAGGGTAGCTGCACTAATGCAGATGTACCTAATATGTTAATAAAAAAATAAATACTTGTACCTCATATCTTAATAAAAAAAAATGATTTAAATGGAAAAGTCTGTCTGTTCGAAGCTGGATGCCACACTTGGGACGGGGGAGAGGGGAGAGGTGAGAGGGAGGTGAGAGGTGAGGGAGAGAGAGAGAGAGAGAGAGAGAGAGAGAGAGAGAGAGAGAGAGAGAGAGAGAGAGAGAGAGAGAGAGAGAGAGAGAGAGAGAGAGAGAGAGAGAGAGAGAGAGAGAGAGAGAGAGAGTGTCCCGGGCACCGCCGGCCACCCCTACCATTACAATATGGCCCAGTATGATACACCACACAGTGTATAGAACACGTTATAAACGACGTGTGAAGGCTGAGGTCACTATTGAGGCCAGGCTCCCCCCCCGTGTAGTTGACACGTGGAGTGACACCTTGGTCACTCCCGCCCCTCCCAGTGTCATACCAGTGCCACATGACTGTCACGCAGCGGGGGGGGGGGAGGGGGAGGGGGAGGGGGAGGGAGAGAGAGAGAGAGAGAGAGAGAGAGAGAGAGAGAGAGAGAGAGAGAGGGAGAGAGAATTACATTGTGTTACAGAGAATGAGCCAAGCATTGTACACTACATTCAACGATTTTCTCGCTATCTTTCCACTTCTCTTCTTTTTTCAATTTATTACTCACTCCTTTATTCTTTCACTCATTCTCTCTATCTCATTCTACACCCTCTCATCTCTCTCTCTCTCTGGTTCTCTCCTCTCTCCCCACCTCAACTCTACCACTTCCCTCATATCAAACGTCAACACCTGTCAGTTTCAGCATGACGAGACCTCTCTCTCTCTCTCTCTCTCTCTCTCTCTCTCTCTCTCTCTCTCTCTCTCTCTCTCTCTCTCTCTCTCTCTCTCTCTCTCACACACACAGGGGCTTGGCGGCTGAGTGGACAGTGCTCTGGGGTCGATGTCCTAAGGGCCCGGGTTCGATCCCCGGCCGAGGCACAAACAAATGGGCAGAGTTTCTTTCACCCTAATGTACCTGTTCACCTAGCAGTAAATAGGTACCTGGGAGTGAGTGCCACCGGCCCCTCACACCTGCTGCGTGAGGGGGCCGGTGGCTGAGTGGACAGCACGCTTGATACGTAGTCATGTGAACTGGGGTTCGATTCCCGTGGCCGGCAGAAACAAAATGGGTAGAGCGTCTTTCACCCTGATGCACCCTTTCACCCAAGAACCAGCTTACAGCCACACACTGTACCCAGCTGCCCCTGTGCCCAAGCGGAAATGAATGGTGCCCAAATACTAGTGAACAGTCGGGGAATTGAACGCCGACCAGCATTGGGGGGGAAGATGGGTTGAGGGGGGGGAAGATGGGTTGAGGGGGGGGGAAGATGGGTTGAGGGGGGGGGGTTGACACCAGCCTGTGACAGCCTCCTACACGTCGCCCAATAAGGACTAAGGCCGTTATGAACCAACAAGACAAGAAGTGATCAAGTACAGGTCATTTGTAAAGATTTCCCGCTCGAGTGATTGACACGAGATTAACCTGAGCCTTACTGAGACGAGCACCGCCCGACCCACTTACAATAATTGTGGGGCATTACTGAGTAGCAGCAGGTGAGCGGCAGACAGCAGGTGAGGGGCAGACAGCAGGTGAGGGGAAGACAGGTGAGGGGCAGACAGTTGGTGAGGGGCAGGCAGCAGGTGAGGGGCAGACAGCAGGTGAGGGGGCAGGCAGCAGGTGAGGGGGCAGGCAGCAGGTGAGGGGCTCAGGCAGCAGGTGAGGGCTCAGGCAGCAGGTGAGGGGTCAGGCAGCAGGTGAGGGGGCAGACAGCAGGTGAGGGGAAGACAGCAGGTGAGGGAAGACAGCAGGTGAGGGGAAGACAGCAGGTGAGGGGAAGACAGGTGAGGGGCAGACAGCAGGTGAGGGGAAGACAGCAGGTGAGAGGCAGACAGCAAGTGAGGGGCAGACAGCAAGTGAGGGGCAGACAGGTGAGGGGAAGACAGCAGGTGAGGGGAAGACAGCAGGTGAGGGGCAGACAGCAGGTGAGGGGAAGACAGCAGGTGAGGGGCAGACAGCAGGTGAGGGGAAGACAGCAGGTGAGGGGCAGACAGCAGGTGAGGGGCAGACAGCAGGTGAGGGGCAGACAGCAGGTGAGGGGCAGACAGCAGGTGAGGGGCAGACAGCAGGTGAGGGGCAGACAGCAGGTGAGGGGCAGACAGCAGGTGAGGGGCAGACAGCAGGTGAGGGGCAGACAGCAGGTGAGGGGAAGACAGCAGGTGAGGGGCAGACAGCAGGTGAGGGGGAAGACAGTTACTAGCCACGGCTTAATAAACGACCCAACAATGAATATCATACAGGGGCCCCCAACAATGAATATCATACAAGGGCCCCAACAATACCATACAGGGCCCCCAACACTACCATACAGGGCCCCCAACACTACCTCGACTAGGGTCTCGGGTCAGCAGGTCTGCTTTAAGCATGATAAAAAGTAAGTATACTCGCTGGTTAAGTGTATTGTATGCCTGCTGAGACAGCATTGTCTGCTGACAGCCCGCCCGGGCCCTCTCCCGCGCTGGCTCACACGCCGACACATACTCCATAATTACTGGCCCACGAATATAAACACAGCCTCTTCATTTTATTGTGATGAAGACTGATCATTTTCTTCGGGATAGTTATCTTGAGATGATTTCGGGGCTTTTAGTGTCCCCGCGGCCCGGTCCTCGACCAGGCCTCCACCCCCAGGAAGCAGCCCGTGACAGCTGACTAACACCCAGGTACCTATTTTACTGCTAGGTAACAGAGGCATAGGGTGAAAGAAACTCTGCCCATTGTTTCTCGCCGGCGCCTGGGATCGAACCCAGGACCACAGGATCACAAGTCCAGCGTGCTGTCCGCTCGGCCGACCGGCTCCCATGGTGATGATGAGTATAGTGAATATGCACCATATGTATTCACCGAATGCCGTCAGTTCTCAGCACTGACGTTTGAGGAGGTTTATTTTGAATGATTTCGGGGCTTAGCGTCTCCGCGGCCCGGTCCTCGAATGTTTATTCTCAAAAAAATATTATTATTTTGCACAGAATAATAATTAATTTCCTAGAATTATTGCGAAAACAGTATTTTAATAAGCCTAAATGAAATTTTTAATGAAATGGTAAACATTTAGTAAACACATGGGAAAGTTTACCTGCAGATACACACAAAAAAATAACAAATCCACAGGAGCCCTAATGAGGGATCGAACCTATGTACTGAGTGTTCCCAGACGCGCTCTAGTCCACTCTACCGCGACATGGTCAAAGGAATTGCAACCCGGAGTGCTACTGAACCCACGAGGCTCCAGAAGGCTTCCACTCAGGTCTAACGTGATATACAGATCAGTCACGTTAATGTGATCTCTCTCTGTGTATATAATACAGTGTGGTACAGTAGACCTGAATGAGTTTACCTGGAGATATAATACAGTGTGGTACAGTAAACTTGGATGAGTTTACCTGGAGATATAATACAGTGTGGTACAGTAAACTTGAATGAGTTTACCTGGAGATATAATACAGTGTGGTACAGTAAACTTGAATGAGTTTACCTGGAGATATAATACAGTGTGGTACAGTAAACTTGGATGAGTTTACCTGGAGATATAATGTGTTACAGTAAACTTGAATAAGTTTACCTTGAGATATAATACAGTGTGGTACAGTAAACTTGAATAAGTTTACCTGGAGATATAATACAGTGTGGTACAGTAAACTTGAATAAGTTTACCTGGAGATATAATACAGTGTGGTACAGTAAACTTGGAACAGTTTACCTGGAGATATAATACAGTGTGATACAGTTAACCTGGATGAGTTTACCTGGAGATATAATACAGTGTGATACAGTAAACCTGGAAGAGTTTACATGGAGATATAATACAGTGTGATACAGTAAACCTGGAAGAGTTTACCTGGAGATATAATACAGTGTGATACAGTAAACCTGGAAGAGTTTACATGGAGATATAAGTCAGTGTGATACAGTAAACCTGAAAGAGTTTACCTGGAGATATAATACAGTGTGGTACAGTAAACTTGGATGAGTTTACCTGGAGATATAATACAGTGTGGTACAGTAAACCTGGACGAGTTTACCTGGAGATATAATACAGTGTGATACAGTAAACCTGGAAGTTTACCTGGAGATATAATACAGTGTGATACAGTAAACCTGGAAGAGTTTACCTGGAGATATAATACAGTGTGATACAGTAAACCTGAAAGAGTTTACCTGGAGATATAATACAGTGTGATACAGTAAACCTGAAAGAGTTTACCTGGAGATATAATACAGTGTGGTACAGTAAACCTGGACGAGTTTACCTGGAGATATAATACAGTGTGATACAGTAAACCTGAAAGAGTTTACCTGGAGATATAATACAGTGTGATACAGTAAACCTGGAAGAGTTTACCTGGAGATATAATACAGTGTGATACAGTAAACCTGAAAGAGTTTACCTGGAGATATAATACAGTGTGATATAGTAAACTTGGATGAGTTTACCTGGAGATATAATACAGTGTGATACAGTAAACCTGGACGAGTTTACCTGGAGATATAATACAGTGTGATACAGTAAACTTGGATGAGTTTACCTGGAGATATAATACAGTTTGATACAATAAAAAAAAATTAAACTTGAAATAGCCAGACATATTCTCCACAAAACACTCGTCTCTCGATGCTTATAACTTGAGGCTCTCTCAAAACACTCTATATAGTTTGGATCTATTGATCTGTTGCTGTCTGTAATCGCCTGTAATCCTCGTAAACCAGAAGTAAAGTTAAGTAACTCTTAATCATCCTTGAGAACGAGTTGAGTCCGTGAACACCAAGGAAGCAAGTAGTACAGAGGCTTAGGGGAGACTAGAGGAACAGGGAACTGTTCTACTAGTCTGTTTGTGAATGTTTACTGCATGGCTTGGTGAGGCTGTCCCCCTCCGCGGCCTCCATCATATACAGCACATCCGTAGATATGTCTAATTATACGTGGCATTTACCATCGTGTCCTCTGGCCAGGTTCGTTAAAGCAGCGGCCTTACCTCAAGACCAATTCATCCATTTTAATATATTGTGTATTAAAAATAGTTTGTATCGCTGGTATAAATTAGTATTATTATAATTTAAGGGTCTGTGTATAGTTAGGCGTAGGTTAGGTTAGGTTACGTTAGAAGTAGGTTAGGTTAGGTTACGTTAGAAGCAGGTTAGGTTAGGTGTAGGTTAGGTGTAGGTTACGTTAGAAGTAAGTTAGGTGTAGGTTAGGTTAGGTGTAGGTTAGGTTAGGTGTAGGTTAGGTTAGGTGTAGGTTAGGTTAGGTGTAGGTTAGGTGTAGGTTAGGTTAGGTGTAGGTTAGGTTAGGTGTAGGTTAGGTTAGGTGTAGGTTAGGTTAGGTGTAGGTTAGGTTAGGTGTAGGTTAAAGTATGTTGACCAGACCACATACTAGAAGTTGAAGGGACGACGACGTTTCGGTCCGTCCTGGACCATTCTCAAGGTCTGGTCAACATACTTCAGCCACGTTATTGTGACTCATCGCCTGCATAGGTGTAGGTTAGGTTAGGTGTTGGTTAGGTGTAGGTTAGGTTAGGTGTAGGTTAGGTGTAGGTTAGGTTAGGTGTAGGTTAGGTTAGGTGTAGGTTAGGTTAGGTGTAGGTGAAGGTTAGGTGTAGGTTAGGTTAGGCGTTTGGTTCTGTTGATGATAATTTGCATTTAAAGTACACGTGAGTGAAGCATTTACAGCGTTGTGGTTCGAACAGTTCCGGATTGTTTGTGATGTGGTCTATGTATGTATTAACACCATGTACTGAACGGGGTGAGAATAGCTTGAGCTACCTCATCCCTTTGTGTGTATTTTACATCAATAAACTTATTTCAATTTCAACAGTTCCGGTCTTCGTGGCACTGTTCAAAAAATGTTTGAACGTCATCAGTAGTGTCGTCGTGTGTAAACTGTTTACCAGTCATAAACAGGAAGGTTGGCGGCTGGATTAGCGAGCATTTGGCCTCTGTTGATGAGGACGGGCTGGATTAAACGGCTACAGGGTGAGACAGAACCAAGGTGGACCCACCAGTGTAGACCAGTGTAGAGTGTAGACCATTGTATAGACCAGTTTAGAGTGTACACCCGCTCAAGTATAGACGCTCGACGATCTTGGCGAGTCCTACTCTTGGCAGTAATGTAACCTGGAAATAGTTTACCTTCTGAAGTAAACTCAAACAACACACACCTTCAGGAAATAGTTGAATTAAGTGGGCCAGATTCACGAAGCAGTTACGCAAGCACTTACGTACGTGTACAATCTTTCCTCAATCTTTGACGGCTTCGGTTACATTTATTAAACAGTTTACAAGCATGAAAACTCGCCAATCAACTGTTGTTATTGTTATAAACAGCCTCCTGGTGCTTCGGAGCTCATTAACTCCGAAACGATGTACAGGTTCCCAAGTGTTTGCGTAACTGCTTCGTGAATCTGGCAAGATTTATGTTTTATTAAATGTATTTCCCAAGATAATTTTTGTTAAATTGTTTTTTAACTTCAATAATTATCTCTGGAGGTGAAAACCTCGTGACACAGAAAACTTTTTAATCCGAAACCTTTGCGCCAGAAACTTCCTTACCTGGAAACCTCCTGGGGCCAGATTCACGAAAGCACTTACGCAAACACTTACGAACCTGTACATCTTTTCTCAATCTTTGACGGCTTTGTTTCCAATTATTAAACAATTAATGAGCTCGGAAGCACCAGGAGGCTGTTTATAACAATAACAACAGTTGAATGGCAAGTTTTCATGATTGTAAGTTTAATAAATGTAATCAAAGCCGTCAAATAGTGAGGAAAGATGTACACGTTCCTAAATGCTTGCGTAAGTGCTTTCGTGAATCTGGCCCCTGATCTGGAAAACCTTATCTGGAAGTATCTTCCAGATACTTCCAAATAAGAAAGAACCAGAATCTTCCTCACCCGAAAGCCTCTCGTCCCAGAAACATCTCGACTCTGAAAATTCCTGACCATGAACGGGCTGTTTAACAAATTTATGACTTGAGAAAAATGGTTGGAATATTATTCTTCCCGGTAAGAAGTGGCGGTAGTTGTAGTAGCAATAGCACTGGTAATACGTGCAGTTGGAGCAGCAGGAGGAGTGGAGTCAGGATCTCTTCACATGTTAGTTTACTGTTACCATTGTGAGCCAGAAGTGTGGGAGAGTGTCTTAAGCTTTTCTTCCCTGAATGGCTTAAGCTTTTCTTCCCTGAATGGCTTAAGCTTTTCTTCCCTGAATGGCTTAAGCTTTTCTTCCCTGAATGGCTTAAGCTTTTCTTCCCTGAATGGCTTAAGCTTTTCTTCCCTGAATGGCTTAAGCTTTTCTTCCCTGAATGGCTTAAGCTTTTCTTCCCTGAATGGCTTAAGCTTTTCTTCCCTGAAAGGCTTAAGCTTTTCTTCCCTGAAAGGCTTAAGCTTTTCTTCCCTGAATGGCTTAAGCTTTTCTTCCCTGAATGGCTTAAGCTTTTCTTCCCTGAATGGCTTAAGCTTTTCTTCCCTGAATGGCTTAAGCTTTTCTTCCCTGAATGGCTTAAGCTTTTCTTCCCTGAATGGCTTAAGCTTTTCTTCCCTGAATGGCTTAAGCTTTTCTTCCCTGAATGGTTCAGTATTGTGAGAGTAGTTTGAGGCTTCCTGCAGATGTCTTCTGAATGCATTGTTGGGGGTCCAGGGGCCAGATTCACGAAAGCAGTTATGCAAGCACTTACGAACCTGTAAATCTTTTCTCAATCTTTGGCGGCTTTGTTTACAATTATTAAACAGTTAATGAGCTCCGAAGCACCAGGAGGCTGTTTATAACAATAACAACAGTTGATTGGCAAGTTTTCATGCTTGTAAACTGTTTAATAAATGTAACCAAAGCCGTCAAAGATTGAGGAAAGATGTACAGGTTCGTAAGTACTTGCGTAACTGCTTCGTGAATCTGGCCCCTGGAGTCTATACTCCCTCTCTCTCTCTCTCTCTCTCTCTCTCTCTCTCTCTCTCTCTCTCTCTCTCTCTCTCTCTCTCTCTCTCTCTCTCTCTCTCTCTCTCTCTCTCTCTCTTTCAGTAGTTTGATTCTCCCCCTGCCTTGGTGACGTCACAGGTGTTGATATAACCCAGTGATTGATGCTGGAAACGACCACTTAGCTATTCATGGCCCAGGGGATGTCCCCATGGGGCGCTATATGGCACTCTCCCCTCAGTGCGTCCCCTCACTCTCTCCCCTCAGTGCGTCCCCTCACACTCTCCCCTCAGCCAATCACGTCACTCTTTTCTAACTCTATCACCCTCTCTCATCATCTCTCCTCACTACCTTGCTCGTCAAACCGTCTCTTCCCTCCCCCCCTCAGACATAAATTTGTTTCCTTAATCTCTTCCTTTTCTCTTTCTCTCCTACATGAAACCAGTGACGGCTTTGCGTCTTGCAGGCCGGCGCTCGATCCCCAACTGTCTACGTGGTTGGGCAATGTTTCTATACTCCCTCCAGCCTCATACTTCTCTTTGTATCCCTTCAGGATGGTCATACTGACCTGGTGATGCCGTCATGTCCTTCACCCCGAGTGTGGCCCTCGACTACTGTGGCCCTCGACCACTGTGGCCAGGTCCTGAATTTCTTGTATGACTTCGCACGATAAGTGAAATGATGCCGCGTTTAAATTGTGGGTGTTTTGATGTGGTTACTTCAGCGTGTCCTCAAGGGGAGGACGGGGTATGTACCACTGTGGTAATTACAGTAAAATGTTATTACTTTATTGTATTTCCTCTCCTTGGTTAGGTTAGGTTAGGTTAGGTTTGGTTCATCCTGTAACATGGGAAACGAGAAATTCTAAAATGCTTGAATATCGCTTACAATTTGACATTAAAGAAAATATTGCCCATATCAAAGAAAACGTCTTTAACTCTCAAGTCTATTTCAAACCCTCAAAATATACCAGAAAACAGTTATAACTTGAGAATAATCTCAGTTTACGAAAAGGTTCACTTGACAGTTTTCCAGTAGACCATTAGTGAAACCTTAGTAACCCTTCAGAGCATGACAAACATCTATGTAAGTATCCAGGAGGGCTAACGAGGGAGGAGGGTTGGTCAGTATAGTCTTCCCTCATAGTCGCATTCTTTGGCCTAAGCGTCAGCTGGCATTTAGAACTTGGTTAAGTACGTCCTTACATTATTCTCGCCTTCCTAGTTTAATTAGAAAAAGAATCGTGTCCTGTCTCGTGAGGTAGACACGAATATTGCTCAAATGAGTTGAGATTAATATGGACGTGTCCGGAACGTGTCCTGGACGGGTCCGGGACGGGTCCAGGACGGGTTCGGGACGGGCCCGGGACCTGTCGAGGACGGGTGGTAGTTTGCTTGGAAAGCTTTAGGATGTTGAAACGAGTCACTGAGAGCCATTCACCCCCGAAATAATGCCACAAGGTGTCTAGTGACTCCATAAGACACAGCGCCTAAACCAATAAACACTAAGCTTGTAGACACGGCTTGACCCGAGTCATTTCCACACTAAGACTGTGATTTCATCTTGCAGGAGTAGCTGCAGTATTGTAACTACAGTATTGTAACAACCAGTTAGTGGTTTTAACACAACCACTAACTGGAGAATGTCACACTTCTGTGCCGTCAATTCTTACCCTCATTCTTCCTCTCTCAGATGTGTGTAGTCTCTCATTCTTTATCTCCCTCCCTCTCTCACTATCCCTCCCTCCCTTCCCATCTCTCTGTCTCAGTCCCTTCCCACTCCCCCCTTCCCTCTCTGAAACGAGTCTTCCTCTCCCCCTCACCCATTAATGGTAATTACCTTAGAGGTTCCTCCATCACCAGGTCACCCTTTGTACCACTAGATTTGCCTTTGTACCACCAGATCTGCCTTTGTACCACCAGATCTGCCTTTGTACCACCAGTACTGCCTTTGTACCACCAGATCTGCCTTTGTACCACCAGTACTGCCTTTGTACCACCAGATCTGGAGTGTGTCCAAATACGTTTGAGTGTGTGTGTGTTTTTGTGTGTGTGCACTCACATATTGAGTGCACATCGCGGAGGCGCCCGCGAGCGTGTGTGTGTGTGTGTGTGTGTGTGTGTGTGTGTGTACTCACCTATGTGGGGTTGTGGAAGTTGAGCTTTGACTTTTTGGTCCCGCCTCTCAACTGTCAATCAACTGGTGTACAGATTCCTGAGCATACTGGGCTCTATCATATCTACACTTGAAACTGTGTATGGAGTCAGCCTCCACCACATCACTTCCTAATGCATTCCACCTGTTAACTACTCTGACACTGAAAAAGTTCTTTCTAACGTCCCTGTGGCTCATTTGGGTACTCAATCTCCACCTGTGTCTCCTTGTTCGCGTACCACCCGTGTTAAACAGTTTATCTTTATCTACCCTGTCAATTCCTCTGAGAATTTTGTAGGTAGTGATCATGTCTCCCCTTACTCTTCTGTCTTCCAGTATCGTGAGGTGCATTTCCCGCAGCCTGTCCTCGTAACTCATGCCTCTTAGTTCTGGAACTAGCCTAGTGGCATACCTCTGAACTTTTTCAAGCTTCGTCTTGTGCTTGACAAAAACCGGCTCCATGCTGGGGCCGCATACTCCAGGATTGGTCTTACATATGTGATTTACAAGGTTCTAAATGATTCCTTGCACAGGTTCCTGAAGGCAATCCTGATGTTAGCCAGCCTCGCATACGCCGCTGATGTTATTCTTTTGATGTGGGCTTCAGGAGACAGGGTTGGTGTGATATCAACTCCTAGATCTTTCTCTCTGTTTCATGAAGGACTTCATTTCCCATTCTGTATCCTGTGTCTGGTCTCCTGTTTCCAATGAATAGTGTCATTACCTTACATTTACTCGGGTTGAACTTTAATAGCCATATGTTGGACCATTCATTCAGTTGTTCTAGGTCATCTTGTAGCCTCCTACTATCTTTCTCCGTCTTATTCCTCTTCATAATTTTTGCATTATCAGCAAACAATGAGAGGAACGATTCTATACCATCTGGGAGATCATTTACATATATAAGAAACGGTATGGGTCCAAGGACTGACCCCTGCGGGACTCCACTGGTGACGCCTCGCCAATCTGAGACCTCACCCCTCACAGTGACTCGCTGTTTTCTGCTGCTTAGGTAGTTAGGTTGCTTTGTGTGTGTGTGTGTGTGTGTGTGTGTGTGTGTGTGTACTCACCTACTGCGCACGTGTGTATCCACCTAGTTGTGCTTCCGGGGGTTGAGCTCTGGCTCTTTCGGCCCGCCTCTCAACTGTTTTTTTCCACACACGCGCACACACCTAGGAAGCAGCCCGTAACAGCTATCTAACTCGCAACTAATTCCCAGATATCAAAATAACTATTTACTGCTAGGTAACAGGGGCTTCAGGGTGAAAAAAACTCTGCCCATTTGTTTCCGCCATCGCCGGGGCTAGATCCCCGGGCCATAGGATTACGAGTGCGGAGCGCTGTCCACTCAGCCACCAGGCGCCCCCCCCCCATGTGTACGTGAGTGTGTGTGTGCGTGCGTGAGTGTGTTATAGCCGCCACCCTATACCATTAAGCCATCATGATTGACCAGAGCTTACCTCTGTATGTCTTCTTGGGGGTGGATGAGTGACGGGTGGATGGGTGAGTGACGGGTGGATGGGTGAGTGACGGGTGGATGGGTGAGTGACGGGAGGATTGTTAGAGGCTGTTAGAGCACCTGTCTTCCACTCTGGTGGCCGTGATAGATATATTATATTATATATATATATATATATATATATATATATATATATATATATTATATTATATATATATATATATATATATATATATATTATATTATATTATATATATATATATATATATATATATATATATATATATATATATATATATATATATATATATATATCTTATTTAAGCCCACCGAAGGCTTACAAAGTTTCCGTTGGGTGCTTCCGGAATCCTTCCTTATTGTGGCCGCTCAATAGCGCGGTTGATACATATTTTATTTAAATATTTGTAATTATGTATAACTTATATTATAATATATGACATTGTAAATACAATTTCACTATTTGATATTTTTTATGTTTATTTCTTATTTTCTTTCTTCTGTGAGCTCATAGATTTGTTATAGAGCATTATGGGAGAGGTTACTTGCTAACACGCTAACAACCCCAATGGTTGTGGTATGGGGAGCTGTTGTGGGTGGGAGGAGGTATGGGGAGCTGTTGTGGGTGGGAGGAGGTATGGGAGAGGAAGGGGTGGCCGCCTCCTATTACAGCTCCAGGTCGTGTCTGGCTTCACCACCGTAACCCTAGAACATGCGGGGAAGAACAATAATGATACAATGAGCACCAGGAAGAACAATAACAATACAATAACTCTCAGAACCAAAAAAAAAAACGCTGGGGGGGGGGGGGTTGAAGTAAGTAGGGAAAGAAAGGGAGGAACGTTTTCTTCGTCTTACAGACCTCTAAAGTTATTGTACCTCCATGTTTAGGCAAAATTTGGTGGCGATGACACGAGTATTATGCTGCTAATGCCATCTAGCGGCAGAAAATAACACTATCCACATGCCAACCATCACAGATATTTAGATAATTATCCAGGTGGTCTAAGTAAGTGCTTGCATGGAGGGTGGAGGGTGGGGTGGGGGGCGCGTTTGGTGTCTCGTTGTAATGGATTTACCCTAAGAAAGGGTAAGACTTAAGACCTAAGGCTGGCCAGAAGGTCAAATTCTATCACTCACATTTCATTGGCGGATACTCATTGTTGACAGTCACTACAATGGCTAACCTCAGGAAGAACTTGGCTGAAAGCTCCGCCCATTTAATGACATAATTAGATCAACTGTGCTTACAGCTTGGCGTCCGCGGGTGCACAGCCACACTGTGTCACAGATCGGCAGGGAACTGCCGTGGGTCTCTAGTTCCCGGGTTTGTCGGTCTCCGATGGGTTCCGTGCCACATCGGGATTGACGGTAATGTGGTGGCTGACGCGAGATAGGGCATGGTTGCCCCGGTTCCTCTGGACCTCTGGAACACTCCCGTACTGGGAGGCGGAGTTGCCAGCAGCTCTTCGGTCATCTTCTTTGAGGCGCCGAGAGGGCGGCACCTTCCCGCGTCCTCTGTGGTGCTGGAGGGCGGCACCTTCCTGTGTCCTCTGTGGCGCTGGAGGGCGGCACCTTCCCGCGTCCTCTGTGGTGCTGGAGGGCGGCACCTTCCTGTGTCCTCTGTGGCGCTGGAGGGCGGCACCTTCCCGCGTCCTCTGTGGTGCTGGAGGGCGGCACCTTCCCGCGTCCTCTGTGGCGCTGGAGGGCGGCACCTTCCCGCGTCCTCTGTGGTGCTGGAGGGCGGCACCTTCCCGCGTCCTCTGTGGCGCTGGAGGGCGGCACCTTCCCGCGTCCTCTGTGGCGCTGGAGGGCGGCACCTTCCCGCGTCCTCTGTGACGCTGGAGGGCGGCACCTTCCTGTGTCCTCTGTGGCGCTGGAGGGCGGCACCTTCCCGCGTCCTCTGTGGTGCTGGAGGGCGGCACCTTCCCGCGTCCTCTGTGACGCTGAAGGGCGGCACCTTCCCGCGTTCTCTGTGGCGTTGGAGGGCGGCACCTTCCCGCGTCCTCTGTGGCGCTGGAGGGCGGCACCTTCCCGCGTTCTCTGTGGCGTTGGAGGGCGGCACCTTCCCGCGTCCTCTGTGGCGTTGGAGGGCGGCACCTTCCCGCGTTCTCTGTGGCGTTGGAGGACGGCACCTTCCCGCGTCCTCTGTGGCGCTGGAGGGCGGCACCTTCCCGCGTCCTCTGTGACGCTGGAGGGCGGCACCTTCCTGTGTCCTCTGTGACGCTGGAGGGCAGCACCTTCCCGCGTCCTCTGTGACGCTGGAGGGCGGCACCTTCCTGTGTCCTCTGTGGCGCTGGAGGGCGGCACCTTCCCGCGTCCTCTGTGACGCTGGAGGGCGGCACCTTCCCGCGTCCTCTGTGACGCTGGAGGGCGGCACCTTCCTGTGTCCTCTGTGACGCTGGAGGGCGGCACCTTCCTGTGTCCTCTGTGGCGCTGGAGGGCGGCACCTTCCTGTGTCCTCTGTGGCGCTGGAGGGCGGCACCTTCCTGTGTCCTCTGTGGCGCTGGAGGGCGGCACCTTCCCGCGTCCTCTGTGGTGCTGGAGGGCGGCACCTTCCCGCGTCCTCTGTGGTGCTGGAGGGAGGCACCTTCCCGCGTCCTCTGTGGTGCTGGAGGGCGGCACCTTCCTTGTGTCCTCTGTGGCGCTGGAGGGCGGCACCTTCCCGCGTCCTCTGTGGTGCTGGAGGGCGGCACCTTCCTTGTGTCCTCTGTGGTGCTGGAGGGCGGCACCTTCCTTGTGTCCTCTGTGGTGCTGGAGGGCGGCACCTTCCCGACCCTCTGTGGTGCTGGAGGGCGGCACCTTCCCGACCCTCTGTGGCGCTGGAGGGCGGCACCTTCCCGCGTCCTCTGTGGTGCTGGAGGGCGGCACCTTCCCGCGTCCTCTGTGGCGCTGGAGGGCGGCACCTTCCCGCGTCCTCTGTGGTGCTGGAGGGCGGCACCTTCCCGCGTCCTCTGTGGCGCTGGAGGGCGGCACCTTCCCGCGTCCTCTGTGGCGCTGGAGGGCGGCACCTTCCTGCGTCCTCTAGTGTGGCGCTGGAGGGCGGCACCTTCCCGCGTCCTCTGTGGCGCTGGAGGGCGGCACCTTCCTGCGTCCTCTAGTGTGGCGCTGGAGGGCGGCACCTTCCCGCGTCCTCTGTGGTGCTGGAGGGCGGCACCTTCCCGCGTCCTCTGTGGCGCTGGAGGGCGGCACCTTCCCACGTCCTCTGTGGTGCTGGAGGGCGGCACCTTCCCACGTCCTCTGTGGCGCTGGAGGGCGGCACCTTCCCACGTCCTCTGTGGCGCTGGAGGGCGGCACCTTCCCACGTCCTCTGTGGGGCTGGAGGGCGGCACCTTCCCGCGTCCTCTGTGGCGCTGGAGGGCGGCACCTTCCCGCGTCCTCTGTGGTGCTGGAGGGCGGCACCTTCCCGCGTCCTCTGTGGCGCTGGAGGGCGGCACCTTCCCGCGTCCTCTGTGGCGCTGGAGGGCGGCACCTTCCCACGTCCTCTGTGGTGCTGGAGGGCGGCACCTTCCCACGTCCTCTGTGGCGCTGGAGGGCGGCACCTTCCCGCGTCCTCTGTGGCGTTGGAGGGCGGCACCTTCCCGCGTCCTCTGTGGTGCTGGAGGGCGGCACCTTCCCGCGTCCTCTGTGGCGCTGGAGGGCGGCACCTTCCCACGTCCTCTGTGCTGCTGGAGGGCGGCACCTTCCTGCGTCCTTTGTGGCGCTGGAGGACGGCACCTTCCCGCGTCCTCTGTGGCGCTGGAGGGCGGCACCTTCCCGCGTCCTCTGTGGCGCTGGAGGGCGGCACCTTCCTGCATCCTCTGTGGCGCTGGGGGGGGCGGCACCTTCCTGCGTCCTCTGTGGCGCTGGAGGGCGGCACCTTCACGCGTCCTCTGTGGCGCTGGGGGCGGCACCTTCCCGCGTCCTCTGTGGCGTTGGAGGGCGGCACCTTCACGCGTCCTCTGTGGCGCTGGAGGGCGGCACCTTCACGCGTCCTCTGTGGCGTTGGAGGGCGGCACCTTCCCGCGTCCTCTGTGGCGCTGGGGGGCGGCACCTTCCCGCGTCCTCTGTGGCGCTGGAGGGCGGCACCTTCACGCGTCCTCTGTGGCGTTGGAGGGCGGCACCTTCCCGCGTCCTCTGTGGCGCTGGGGGGGCGGCACCTTCCCGCGTCCTCTGTGGCGCTGGAGGGCGGCACCTTCACGCGTCCTCTGTGGCGCTGGAGGGCGGCACCTTCACGCGTCCTCTGTGGCGCTGGAGGGCGGCACCTTCCCGCGTCCTCTGTGGCGCTGGAGGGCGGCACCTTCCCGCGTCCTCTGTGGCGCTGGAGGGCGGCACCTTCCTGCGTCCTCTGTGGCGCTGGAGGGCGGCACCTTCCCGCGTCCTCTGTGGCGCTGGAGGGCGGCACCTTCCCGCGTCCTCTGTGGCGCTGGAGGGCGGCACCTTCCCGCGTCCTCTGTGGCGTTGGAGGGCGGCACCTTCCCGCGTCCTCTGTGGCGCTGGAGGGCGGCACCTTCCCGCGTCCTCTGTGGCGTTGGAGGGCGGCACCTTCACGCGTCCTCTGTGGTGCTGGAGGGCGGCACCTTCACGCGTCCTCTGTGGCGTTGGAGGGCGGCACCTTCACGCGTCCTCTGTGGCGCTGGAGGACGGCACCTTCACGCGTCCTCTGTGGCGTTGGAGGGCGGCACCTTCCCGCGTCCTCTGTGGCGTTGGAGGGCGGCACCTTCCCGCGTCCTCTGTGGCGTTGGAGGGCGGCACCTTCCCGCGTCCTCTGTGGCGTTGGAGGACGGCACCTTCCCGCGTCCTCTGTGGCGCTGGAGGGCGGCACCTTCTCTCGTCCATGGGCCCGACACCGTTCCAGACTCCTCATCACGGCCCCCACTTGCTTCCTGTTGGTATATTTCCCCCACTGCCAGTGGTGTCCCAGCCAGGATACTGTGGAACACCTCCTCAACTGCCCACCGTTTTACAGTGTTCTACGAGGCGGGAGAGTTACGACATCCTTTAACATACTTTCCGCTTCATTGGCTACGCCCGGGGCCTGCAGAGGGATCCCAACCCACTTCGCTGTTTCCGAAAGTCGGGCTGCCGGGGCGCACCCGATCCCTCGATCGTCGTCGCCCCTCAACCAATAGCAACAACAAATCTGCTTATGACCTGATGTTCAAACTCTGTTCTCTCTGAAATATGAATTGATGACCCCAAATAAAATTTAAAATAATATGTGATACTGCACATTATGCGATATAAATTCTTAAACAAAATCAGCGACGTGTTTTTTGACGTCACAAGATAGGTCTTATAGAGGCCTATCGAGACAAGGATCATTGATGTAGGCCTCGCACTCTAATACGATGCCTCGCCCTCTAATATTGCACTCTGCCACTAGATTCTGAGAGATTCAGAATTAGTTGATTTCTGAGAGATTTGTAGCAGCTCTGTTTCTGCCACTAGATAAAAAAGTTCTGCCACAAGACGGAACCTCTTGCCAGGAATTCACACAAATCTACATCAACCGGTTCATTAAATATTACGTTTTTAATTTTTAGAATCTTTTTTTTTCAGAATCCAAAATGGAAGCCATAAGCTGGGTTGGAGTGATGGACGGCCGAGCTAAGTGGGCCGAGCTAAGTGGGCGGAGCTTCTAGCTTATTCCTTCCTCTCATAGCTGATGTGAAGATTGTCAACACAGTTTCCACCAATGAACTGTGAGTGCGGGAATGTGCGCTTCAATACACCCCGCCTTACGGGCTGTTGTTGGCTTGTTGATCGTGTCATTTTCTGACCCCTATCTTGAGGTCATCTTGAGGTTATCCTGTGTTGATTTCGGGGCTTAGTGTCCCCACGGCCCGGTCCTCGACCAGGCCTCCTTTTTGTTACACCCCCATTGTTATGTCGTATAAAACAAAGTACTTAAAAACACATACCAAAGTAACAATGTACTTACCACCTATTACACACACACACACACACACACACACACACACACACACACACACACACACACACACACACACACACACAGCATCCCCTGACGGGCCCTGGTAGCCTGGTGGATAGCGCGCAGGACTCGTAATTCTGTGGCGCGGGTTCAATTCCCGCACGAGGCAGAAACAAATGGGCAAAGTTTCTTTCACCCTGAATGCCCCTGTTACCTAGCAGTAAATAGGTACCTGGGAGTTAGTCAGCTGTCACGGGCTGCTTCCTGGTGTGTGTGTGTGTGGTGTGGAGAAAAAAAGAAAAGAAAAAAAAGTAGTTAGTAAACAGTTGATTGACAGTCGAGAGGCGGGCCGAAAGAGCAAAGCTCAACCCCCGCAAACACAACTAGGTGAATACACACACACACACACACACACTCTCTCTCTCTCTCTCTCTCTCTCTCTTTCTCTCTCTCTCTCTCTCTCTCTCTCTCTCTCTCTCTCTCTCAGCTTCCGTTCCAGCGAGGGAAGAGGAAGGAAGAGGAGGCAGGTCGGGCTCATTACTCTCCTTGGACAAAACTCACCGACCATCTTTTTCCGCGCCGGTGTTTTCACTGATAATAAACACAGACTTGGCGAACACAAACATACCAGAAGGGGGAGAGGGAGGGAGGGAGAGGGGAGAGGGAGAGAGGACGAGGGGTGAGGTGGGGGAGGAGGGGAAAGGAGGGATTATTACCAGAGAAAGGTCGGAGGGGGAGACTAGACCGCTAAAGAGAATGAGAGATAAATATGTAAAGAGAAGAGAAGGAAGAGGAGAAGAGGACGTGTTTACTGGTAAATGTGGAGGCTTAGGAGACTGTTAGTATTGTCCATGATCATAGAGTTAAGTATGATGAAGGGAGGCAAGTTAAGAGAGGCATTTGCAGGAGGCACCGTCAAGCAGAGTCCTTTGGAGGAGGCACTGTCAAGCAGAGTCCTCTGGAGGAGGGACCGTCAGGCAGTCCTTTCGAGGAGGCACTGTCAAGCAGAGTCCTTTAGAGGAACCACCGTCAAGCAAAGTCCTTTAGAGGAACCACCGTCAAGCAGAGTCCTTATGAGGGAGAACAGTCAACCAGAGTCCATTGGAGGAGACACCATTAAGCAGTTATTTCGAGGAGCCAAAGTCAACTTGAGGGTGTACGACAAGTAGAGTCAGTAGAAGGCGGGAGATCAGGTCAACAATGGCTCCTACTGAGAGAGGCTACTTGATCCGCGCTATAAGATGGCTGTGGAGAAGCCATTATACTCCGTGTATTGTGAGAATGTAGCAACCTCAAAGGCAAACACAACGGCGATGACGAAGCTGAAACAATAACTGACAATGCATGTCGACCCAACACACGAAATATTGATGCATTCGAAGAGCAAATCCAAGTCAGGTACCATGTTGGAAATTAATACTAACTGACCGACTTAATGCCATGAAATCTGTAGATGACGCTCAGTCATTAGCCGGAGTTACCCAGTGATCGACAGACCGGTGACATCACCAGGAGCCACTGAAGACATCGCCAGGAGCCACTGAAGACATCACCAGAAGCCACTGAAGACATCACCAGAAGTCACTGGAGACATCACCAGGAGCCACTGAAGACATCACCAGGAGCCACTGAAGACATCACCAGGAGCCACTGAAGACATCACCAGGAGCCACTGAAGACATCACCAGGAGCCACTGAAGACATCGCCAGGAGCCACTGAAGACATCGCCAGGAGCCACTGAAGACATCGCCAGGAGCCACTGAAGACATCACCAGAAGCCACTGAAGACATCACCAGAAGCCACTGAAGACATCACCAGAAGCCACTGAAGACATCACCAGAAGCCACTGAAGACATCACCAGAAGCCACTGAAGACATCACCAGAAGCCACTGAAGACATCACCAGAAGCCACTGAAGACATCACCAGAAGCCACTGAAGACATCACCAGGAGCCACTGAAGACATCGCCAGAAGCCACTGAAGACATCGCCAGAAGCCACTGAAGACATCACCAGAAGCCACTGAAGACATCACCAGAAGCCACTGAAGACATCACCAGAAGTCACTGAAGACATCACCAGAAGCCACTGAAGACGTCACCAGGAGCCACTGAAGACATCACCAGAAGCCACTGAAGACATCACCAGAAGCCACTGAAGACGTCACCAGGAGCCACTGAAGACATCACCAGAAGCCACTGAAGACGTCACCAGGAGCCACTGAAGACATCACCAGAAGCCACTGAAGACATCACCAGAAGCCACTGAAGACGTCACCAGGAGCCACTGGAGACATCACCAGAAGCCACTGAAGACATCAGACAACAGATTACAGTGATACTCACATACTATTTACATGAGACGAACACAACCTTTTGAGCAAGAGAAGAGCAGAGGCCCACCACTCCCACGGTGACGGTGCCACGAGGAGAATTAGGTTTCTCAGTTGGAACATTTCCAACATTAACATGAGATTAAATGACTTCATTGCACATGTTACCAGTAATAACATTGATAAAATCCTATACCGGAACCTTATGGATCAAGGGGCCTCGTAGCCTGGTGGATAGCGCGCAGGACTCGTAATTCTGTGGCGCGGGTTCGATTCCCGCACGAGGCAGAAACAAATGGGCAAAGTTTCTTTCACCCTGAATGCCCCTGTTACCTAGCAGTAAATAGGTACCTGGGAGTTAAGTCAGCTGTCACGGGCTGCTTCCTGGGGGTGGAGGCCTGGTCGAGGACCGGGCCGCGGGGACACTAAAGCCCCGAAATCATCTCAAGATAACCTCAAGAAGCAGGATAAGCAACACCCCATAAACGATCATAGCAGACCGTCCTCCTATGGTTTCCCAACGTCAAGAAATTGTCGTACTAAAGT